CTCTGGCCCTCTTGCTTGCTCTCCTCCTCCTCCTCCTCCTCCTCCTCCTCCTCCTTCCTCCTCATATCCCTTCTCATCCTACTCCCCCCCTCCGCCTCCTCCTCTTCCTCGCCCCGCTCGTCCTCCTTCTCCCTGCCCCCCCATCCATCCATCAAATTTTCTCCTTCGCCCCCCCTCTCCTTCGCGCGGTTCGGCCGCCCCCCTCTTTGCTCCCGCGTTTGACCGATCACCTCTCAACTCGCCCGGGCATCTTTCTGGATGGGCCAGCGGGGGCACGCGAAGCGTCTAGAATTCCGTAAATCGGTTGTTGCGTTCGCTCCGCGCTGTTCTGCATAGTTTTGATTCGGCGGCGCAACTCGATCAATCCGTTTCTCGCTCCGGCAATTCATCTTCATTTTCAACAATTGTTGGAAGAACGCGCGTTGGTTCATTACCATGGCCAATGTTAGCCGGCGAGAAGAACCTCTGCCTCGACCCCCTGAAATAGCGCAGAGGCGCGCGAGGCGTGCTTCATGCTCGCGATGCGAGCCAAGCCGACGCCCATCATCTTGCCCCTCAGCTCCGCCCACGCGACTGGCGGCGCACCGCGGTCTCGGCCCACGACAGCTTCACCATCGTCGACCATCGTCGCCCCCCACGTCCTCGCGCACCAGGGCGTCGGGAAAGCATGGGGGAGGTCGGGGGCCCTCGGGGGCAGCGACGGCCTTGGAGCGGTCAGCGCCGAGAAACGCAACGCGAATGGCACGATGATTACGCGGGGGATATAATGCGAACCGACACGGGGTGATCACGGCCCTCGCAACTGAATCGATAGCCAACCAATGATCAATATTGGGATGGCTTCCGCTAGTCGGATCACGAAAAGTACCGCCCGCATTTGAAACCATCTCCCCGATCAACCTCTCGGGCAACCGTGACTTCTCAGGTCGGGCAGGGCCGAGGTTCCCGCCCCCAGCAGCATGCAGTAGCCGATGGTATGCCGAAACGGACCTGACGCAGTTTGGTAGTATTGCCCCCCGCGAGCTTTTGATCCTGCTCTGGGTAGATGGACCCAGTTGTTAAGAAGCACGGTCGAAGGCCCACGCGCGCGCGCGCGCCAGCGCGAAGTGCACGGGCACAGCCGCGCGAGTCCGACATGCACGGCAGGATCGCGGCGCCAATGTGCGAGCGAATAAAAATACCGACACCGCCTTTGGACGCGCCTTCATCGCCCGCAAGAGCTTCACTAAGGAATGGCTTCCACCCGCGCTCAGCCGCCCGCTCCTGCGCGCGTAGAAATTCGCCACCTCGTAGCTTGAGCTCCTGAATCATGACCACGCCTATGCGCGATGAATTGCCCAGTAAGTCACGCACTCGAGGCCGCCCACTAGAGTCGAGCGTGGCCACGGCGAGATTGCGTTTGCCAGCTCGCGGGGGGCTCGTCTCCGCGGGCGCCTCGAGGTCCGCCCCCCGTCAGGCGCGCCGCCAGTGCGTCGAGCGGCCATGTCCTCAGGGCCCGGGCGGAAGATGCGCGATGCCTATGCGATAGTCCTTAGGCATGGGTCGAAACGGCCCCGGGAGACTCAGGCTGCGATGGGCATCCGGAATTACCCGTCTCAGCCCCAGACGAGCCCGGCGCAGGCAACCGAACGCGCGAGGGCGAACTTGTTGCTGCATGGCCAGCTGGCGGGTCTGATGCGCCTGCAAGCTTGTCCCCCTGGGCGACAGCACTGCCCGTGGAAGAAGACACTCCGCTGCCGCCGCTTTCCAGATGTAACCCGCGATCAATCGTAGACTGCCGGGGGGAGGCCAAGCAATCCCAGGTCTTGCTCCACCGCCCAGCTCCGCATCGGTGAGATTGCCGCTTGACTCTCGCTGCGGGAGATCAAAAGTGCGAAAGTCAAACTGTCGGAACGTCACGGCCAAATGATCGAATTTCTCCTTCTGTGCCCATGCCGTCTTCACCGCCTGCCTCGGTAGTTTCATCGAGATCTCTGGCAATCTGGGCACCCCAGGGGCCATATGGGTGATAGGGAATGCCAGGCGCAGGCCCTTTGCCCGCCCCTTTGGCACGATCGGCGGAACTCGTCTGTGCTGCAACTCGCGTGAGGCTCTCACGCGCACGGTGCAACTCGCCGACATGTTCCTGCATAGCTGCCATCGCGATGGCCGCGTTGCCAGCTGTGGCTGCTGCTGGCGCGGCGGCCACCGCGCTCTGGAGCTACTGGAAGGCGGCGTCCAGGCTGTGGGACGTGACATCGTTGTTGCCAGCTGCCATGACCGCTGAGAGAGCCACATCAATCTCGAGGCTGATTGCTGCCAGCTCACTCTTGGACACTTCAAGCTCCGCACTCTTGGTGGTGAGCTCCTCTTGCGAACTCTCGCTCTTTCTGTTTCGCCGCATGTCGGCCAAGGGCCCGTCGCAACATATCATGTGGTGTGCGCTCTGCTCGCTCTCGCTGTTCGGCTGCGGCAAACTGTTTTTTTGGCGCTGATGACCAGCTCACTATCCTCGCCCAGCTGCAGCTTTGTTAAGGCCTGCTGAGTTATGCGGGCCTCTGTGATCAGGTCAACCTCGTCAGGCACCTGCTTTCCTTCGTCTGGGAAGGGCTTACGTGTACCCGATGAAGATCGTGCACGGCGCTGCTGTCATGGTGGGGTGGCCCTCGAGGATCTGGACGCCCTTGTCGGTCCCGTCCGCACATGTAGCATCGCTCATTCGTGATGAAGTTATTGGCAAACCCGCACTGGCGTGCGGCCACGCAAACACAACGACTACCATCAGCAGATTCATTTGTTATTTTTGCCAGTGCCGCCATTCCCCATGGGCGGCCTGGATCCGCGGCGGCACAAAAAGCTGCACTCGAGCTTGCTTCCCCCAAAGAAAGGAACGATCTGCAAACCTCCGATGCCGAAGCCGCCGATGCCACGCTGGCGACCGTGAGCGTTCCGCTGTGTCGAGTGCCAGGCCGAACGTGGCCTCACTCTGGGCGCCCAGGACGAACGACAGTGCCGAGGAGCAGCAGCAGAGAGGGCTGCGGCCGCGGGCGCGCCAGGCGAGGGCCTGCGGCTGGGGGCTATGGCGGGGCGCGGGCGCCCGCCGCGCGGCAAAATGCTGCGGTGCCCGCCGCCAGGCCACCTCAGGAGGAGGAGGAGGAGGAGGAGGAGGAGGAGGGAGGAGGAGGAGGAGGGAGGAGGGATCGGAGGAGGAGGGAGGAGGAGGAGGAGGAGGAGGAGGACGGGGAGGAGGAGGAGGAGGAAGAGGAGGAGGAGGAGGAGGAGGAGGAGGAGGAGGAGGAGGAGGAGGAGGAGGAGGAGGACGGGGAGGAGGAGTGTGGGCAAGTTGCCAGCAAATTTGTCCTCCCCCCTCGGGCGGGCGGTGGCCCCCCGCGGCTGTCCCGCACGGCTGCGTGCCGCGGATATTCCGGAACTTTTCTGCGGGTGCCCCACGGCTGTCCCGTGGTTGCCCTGGGGGGGTTGTCCCGTGGTTGTCCGTTTCTGCGAGCGCCCCGCGGTCGTGCCGTAGTTATCCCGCGTTGTCCCGCGGTTGTCCTGCGGCTGTGCATATATTTTTCCATTGTCTCATGGCTGTTTTGGCCGCTGATCCGTGCTTGACATGTGGTTGTCGTGTGGTTGCACCGCGGTTCTCGCTGGGCCCATAAGAGCTCAGCGACGTTATGCCGTGGCCATGCTCTCTGGGTTGGGGCCTTGTGGTCTACAGCGCAGTGGGGCTGATTTCAAAATGTCCAACGATCTGATTTTCCAACCCCAGCGATGTTCCTCGATTTCGGCTTCTGCGGCCTCCTGTCATCGGGCCCCAAAGGAATCACAAATACATCCAGAGCGAAAAACTTGCCCTGAGGTGGGGCCGGTATCTCTGGGGCCGCGCATGATCGGCTGATGTGGGTCAGAATCGGATACGTAAGAGCTGGCGGTACTGGGGAGTTACTAGCGCGGCCATTATATGGTAAGGCCGATAGATATCATGCGATCGGGACAAAGTGCTACCGATACGTAGTTCGATCGAAAGACATGCAATGATATCGATATCATATCGAAAAGCAACTCGACCGATATGTTCGTGGTAAAATAAGCCGTTTGATATGCTGCATCTGGCGATCAGAGCAACAGCGGCGTGTCAAAGTCCAGGCGGGCCGCGCGAAATAGCTATTAGCCAAACAGGAGCAGGCCGAACACCGGCACTCAGAACGGGACCAGGAAGCCGCCGGAATGGAGGCGGGGCTGCAACACTGCCCAGCGGTGCAACCGTGCAAAGGCTGCAGGTGCTGACTGCCAAGGTGACCGACTGCCAGGGTCTGCAGGATGCTAATTTGAATGCAACAGGTGGCGGGGATACTTTATAATCAGCGACCGCAAGCGAGAGTGCCAGCGGCGAGTCGAGACAAAGCGGGCCGCGCAAAGACGAATTAAGCTAAAGCCGATGGGCCGGAGCCTCACGCGGCACCTCGGCGGGCACGCCGGCGAGTGGAGGGGTGCTGGCTGCGGCTGCCAGGGTAGCTGCACTGCCAGAGTTGCGCGCATGCAAGGAACTGCAGAGGGGCCGACTGCCAGGGTGGCCGACTGCCAGAGTCTGCGAGCTGCTGAGTCGGATGCAAAGGGTGAGCACCCGAGGGACTGCGAAGTACCAGGGTGGCCAGAGCCAGGTGGGCCGAAACCTCCACGAGGCAAAGTGTGTGCGAGTAATAGGTGGTGGGGATACTTTTTCGGTCGCGTCCGCCAGCGAAAGCGCAGGCGGAGTCAGAAGCGCTCCGGGAGGTGGTGGGGATATTTTTTTTGGTCGCGTCCGCTAGCGAAGGCACTAGCGGAGTCAGAAGCGCTACGGGTCACGACAGCGGCCGAATTAGCAGCTAAACGCGCCGCGAGCCGGCCGGCCCACTCACCCAGCAGCGGCTGACTGCGCGGGGGGAGGTGGTGGGGATACTTTTTTTTGGTCGGCGGTTCCCTGGCAAAGGTCAAGAAGCGGGGCAGGTGGTGGGGATACGCGAAGCGTCAATGATTGCCTTTCACGCGCAAGCAAAGTAACACTCCTGCACATTCCAGAACGCTGGATGGTTGCCAACAACCACTGGCAACGAAACGTGCCAGATGGGAAGACGCAAGACATGGATGCCTGCAAACACCTGACACTGGAACTGATCACCGTGCGCCAGGCGGCGCATTGGCCACTCAATGCCATCATATGTGCTTGTCCGTACGAGGGGGAAACAATTTGCACGGTATGAAACAGCGAAAGCCCATGCAGCATTGGATGGAGCCAAATGGTGCCCGAGGAGAAGCAGGAGCAGGCGGAGGACGAGGAGGGGATCCTGAGATCCGACGTCGCGAAAGAAAACATCGTGAAACATCACCACTGAAGCCTGAATTTGACCCACCTTCCTGAGCCATTTTTTGAGCCAGATCGATCCAAGGGCACGAAAGCCCGGCGAAAACGCCTGGCTCGAAACAAGTAAGAACTGATCAGGCAAATCATGCAAAGACTAAGAGACGAAGATGAGGAGCATCCTCTGACTTCGGATCCGCCGTAACTTGGGCGACTTCGCAAACAAGGCGAAAATGTCCACTCTACTTGTCATGCTCCTTTCATGTCGGTTTCCGCTGTATTTTGCCGTGGCTGTTTCCGCCATACCTTTGCGGAAATCAGAGTGAGGGGGCTGAACCGAACGGTCTTTCACTGTCCCTGGGTGCGTGGCTGAAGTGAAATTCCGCGATGCGGATTATTGGTGTTTGTTGTTTGTTGTTGTCGTCCCACCCGCGACCCACCCGCGACCCACCCCGCAACCCACCCCGCGACCCACCCGCGACCCACCCGCGACCGACCCCGCGACCCACCCGCGAACCACCCCGCGACCCACCCGCGACCCACCCGCGACCCACCCGCGACCCACCCCGCGACCCGCCCGCGACCCACCCCGAACCCCCCCCGGCGACCCACCCGCGACCCACCCGCGACCCACCCACGACCCACCCGCGACCCACCCCGCGACCCACCGCGACCCACCCGCGACCCACCCGCGACCCACTGCGACCCACCCGCGACCCACCCGCGATCCACCCCGCGACCCACCCAAAGTGTTCGGCGCCTGCGGCGGGCTTCTTATGCATTCGTTCCAGGTGGAGAACCCGCGACACACCCGCGACACAAACCGCGCCCGCGACCCACCCGCGGCCCACCGCGACCCACCCGAAACCCACCCGCGACCCACCCCGCGACCCACCCAAAATTTTCGGCGTCTGCGGCGGGCTTCTTTTGCATTCGTTCCAGGTGGAGAACCTGCGACCCACCCGCGACCCAAACCGCGTTCAGTGTACAAATCGAAATGTTCGGCGCCTGCGGCGGGATGTTTTTGAATTCCTTCAAAGTGGAGGTGGAGAGCCCGCGACCCACCCGCGACCCAAACTACGTTCATTGAACACGCCAAAAATTCGGCGCCTGCGGCGGGTTTCTTTTGCATTTGTTCCAGGTGGAGAACCTGCGACCCAAACCGCGTTCAGTGTAGAAATCAAAATCCGCCGGCCCCCTTGTGGGGCCACCAGGCTGTAGGCGCGGGTTCGCAGTTTCCTGTACCAGTTGTAGCTTGTAGTTTCCAGTGTTACAGTTCTGCTTCTTGCTGGTTACTGTAACTAGTTGATTGACCGCGCGAAGGGGGGGGAGGCCCAAACCAAATATTTGGCACCTCCTGGGCGCGTTGTCTGAATTGCTGGGGGGGTTCGAAATCAACACCCCTCACACAGATCGGCGGGGTCAGGGTCCAAAAACACAGGGGATTTGCCACATTTCTGAAATTCGGTGACACCCCTCACGCAGATCCGCGGGGGCAGGGTCCAAAAACACATGGGATTTGCCACATTTCTGAAATTCGGTGCCACCCCCCACACCATCCGGATGACTAAAAAATTATCTATGGGATAAATTGTTATATTGTTATCGTTGAAGATAAAAAATAAAAAGTGCTAGAGGCATGTAACATGCACATTTTTATAAAAAATACTAAAATTTTCATATGTATAATTATTCATACATATATATATATATATATATATATATTTCCCTATCAAATGATAAGGGAAAACCCCCCCCCGGATGGCCAGCACCTAATTCGGCCCTCCCCCGATGATCCGAGCCGGCCCGAAAATACAATCAGGACGGGCCACGACCGGTCCCAGAGAGGTTCACGAGTGCTCCAGGAAGGCTCCAGACGGCCCCAGACCCGTCCAAGAGAACCGAAGATCGCCCCAGACAGCCCACGAAGCCCTCAAGACACCCCAAGAGGCCCCACAAAAGGTATCCCAAGAGAGCCCCGGGAGGCCAAAATCGTTGATTTTCCAATGTGTTTTTCGACGTTTTCGTTTTCTCGCCTTTTCATGTCTCCGACGCTCCAAGACAGCCCAAAAGGCCCTCAAGAGCGCCCCAAGACAGCCCCGGAGCCCCCCAAGACAGCCCTACAACGTCCCCCTGCTGGCTCTGGAGGGCCCCCAAACAGGTCAAGAGAGCATACGAGAGCCCCGATCAGGCCCCAAGAGGCGTCCTACAGGGCGATCAACACTTTCAAACTCACTTTTTCCGCCCCGAGAGGGCCCCAGGAGGCCCCCCAAAGCCCCGAGAGGCCCCATGAGGGTTCCAACAGGCTCCAAAAGGAACCCAAGAGCTTCCAAAAAGACCTCAACAGTCTTCAAAACTCGTCTGCCACATGACCTCCCCTGCGGCCAAGGCTGACGCGAGGCCAAATAGAATCTCCAGAGGCCCCGTCGCCGACCAGATCACCAGAACCACCCCACACCCCTAACACAAACGAGAACAACCCAAGGACCCCCAAGAGACCCGTAGAGGCCACACTTCTACATGTTCGCAAGGTGTACGTTTCGTGCTTATTTCCTCACGTGCCTCGGAAGCGCCCCGAATCCACCGACCAGCCAACAAGGGTCCATGACATACGTTTCCTGGGATTTCTTCCGTAGGTTTTGGCTCCAGGTTTCCGCTGATGTTCCCTCTCACTGGATGCCGCCTGACATGGCCGACGATGTCCACCGCCCGCCGATGTGCCGCGCATGCTCTGCTCAGCACACCTACTACCTTCAACACGCAGGCCCGGGGCATTTCACTCCTGCCTGTGGCAGCAACCACTTCCATCGCAGCCTTTCTGTACACGCGCCCTGCGTTTCCAGCACAGTGCGCGGGTGATGCTGGCTCTCCCGCCGTGCGCAAGCGGCCGGCTTCCCGCGGACGCCCCAGCGCAGACACGCTGCATTGCACTCGTTGCGATCAGGACGTCCCGCGGCTGGGCTTCAGCACATACCAACGCAGACGAGCCTCCCGCGTATGCATCGCTTGCACCGGCAGCGCCCCTCAGACTTCCGGCCTCTCCCGGCAACGACCAGAAGTATGTTGCGTTCGTTGCGGGCTCACCTTGCCAAGGGAAGCCTTCGCCACCGACCGCGACAGGTCGCTTGACAGCGTTTGCCGCGACTGCAGCGTAGTGGGCCGACCGTCCCTTGAAGACGTGCCGTTCTCCGTCGGAGAAATGACCCGCATTTGCCCACATTGTTCGGCCTCCCTCTTCCATACCGAAGCACCTACGTTCTGCTGCGGCAACGGCAGGTGGGCCGTCCCATTCGAACGATTCTTCTCGCTCCCACCTCCCGCTCTCTTGGAGATCTTCCGCTCCACTTGGCCAGCTCGGGACGCCGCGGGTCAGCTCTTGCACGATCCCACCACCAATTCTGTTCGTTTGACAGGATTCACGGCCACCAGTCGACGCTACAACAACTTATTCGCACTGGCTGTTCACGAGATCCAGAGCGCTGGGGCTACGAAGGAACTCCGATTCGGGAACTATATGCGCCCCTCGAACCTCCGGATCCACGGCACGATGTACAGACGAGTACTCACGGCTGCCGACTCCACCGCCGTGAGATATCTCGTCGTCGACCCTCACGAACGCGTTCGACAAGCTACTGCGTTGCAGTTGGACCTGCCGCTACTTCGTCGCCTCGAACGCCTCCTGCTGCCCATCAACCCTTTCATGACTGAAATCAAGAGGCTGGGAGCCCTGCGTCGCCCAGGCCCGGACGCAGCGGTGCACTTGAAATGGGACGAAGGTATCAACGAGCTCGCCGCCATCGTCGACGCGCGACCTGACAGCCACGCTCAGCCTCGCACAGTCACATTCCGACTTCACTCCTCCACCACGCCCAAGTACCTCCATCCACTACACCCTTTCTACGAGCCGCTGTCCTACCCATTGTGGTTCCCATCCGGCGGGCGTGGGTGGAGCCCGGATGCCACGGTCAACGGCGCGCACATCAGTCAAATGTGGTGGTACCGCCAATGCATACTACGGTTGACACACATGCACGCTTGCGGACGACTGCTTAACGAATGGCTCATCAACATGTACTGCCGGATGGAGGACGAAAGATTGAGCCTCCTCCGCCGTGATCAGCCCAAGCTGCGTGGCACTCGGCGTCAAGTCTGCGAGATGGTCGCTAACTCCCCCAGTCCAGAGCCCTCTGCGACTCGCGTGTTCTTGCCCTCCAGCGTGCCGGGCTCCCCGCGCCATCTCCGACGTCTTCGAGTCGACTGCTTAGAACTGGCGCGACGTAAAGGACCGCCTACCTTCTTCATCACCTTGACGTGCAACCCATACTGGCCAGAAATTCAATCCGCCCTCCTGCCAGGACAAACCGCTGCTGACAGACCAGACGTCGTCGTCCGCGTGTTTCACGCGCGCCTCCTGGAGATGATTTCCTTCCTCAAGAACGACTTCTGCGGGCGCCGAAGGTACCTCATCCGCGTCATTGAGTACCAGATGCGCGGCCTCCCCCATGCCCACATTGCTCTCGCAGTGGATAACCCGCCCTGCACGCCCGAGGAGATCGATGCTCTCATATCCTGTGAAGTTCCTCCCGAACCTGGCCCACTCCGCGAGCGCGTTCTGCTTCATATGATTCATCGGTGCAACCATTCCTGCCACCCGGACGACCCCGCCCAAGAGTGCATCAAAGGCTGCCCATGGCCGTTCGCCGACACCACCGAGATGGACGCCCGAGGGTACCCGCACCACCGCCGACGCCCGTGCTCTGGCACCTGCCCCAATTGCCAGTCCGGCGGGCCTGCATGCGGACGACGGAACGTGTGCTGCAATCGACTGGTCGTTGAGTACTCCCCCCGAATACTCTTGAAGTGGGACGGCCATGCGAACGTCAAGTTCGCCGGATCAGTCAATCTCTTTGAATACCTCTTCAAGTACCTCTTCAAAGGCCCCGACCACACCATGTACACCATTGGCTCGGAAGACCGGCCGACAGACGAAATTGCCGATTGGCTACGGGGACGGT